CTTCAACACAGAGCATCTTCAGAAGACAAGTTGATAAAATAAATTTTAAAAATCTGTATTGTTCCATACAAGTGTGTAAAAAATGTAAAAATGCTTTACATTTACTCACTTAATGGAACCACTTGACATAACGTGTTAAAGTCAATCCAATGCATGATTTTTGAGTGCACAGAGATTTGTGTTGGTCTTTTTCTGTTCTCTTCTAATTGTCTCATTTTATTTTATTTGCTAAAGAAAAAGACTGTATTGCCTTATTGTACTAAACGTCTACACTGGCTTTTCTTTTCAGACCCAGAGGCAAACCTTCAACTTTCATTGATTTCTGGGACAAACACAAACTCAGTTCCAGTTGATGTGCTGGCTATTCCATAACCCCTATTTACTTTTCTCAGTCTTTCTTGTATTGATTATTGACATTTTTAGTTGATCTTCAGGGCTGTAGTCTTGTAATCCTGAGGCTGCAGACAGGAGCTGCCCTTCTGCAATCTTATAACCTAATCTGCTGCCTTTGACTCCATTATTTTTGTAAATTAGAGCTTATGTTTATTACCAATAAGGATTAAATTAGAGTAAATGAACTCACAGTTACTCTTTCAGCAGCTGACATGTTAACGCTCAGCTGTAAACACCCATGCACAGGACAAACATTACATCAACATCCATCTGATCCGCATGCAGCGACAATTTTATTGCGCTCGTAAAAACGCTCACAACTGCCCTTTAAGCACATTGTATTTTCAGAAGACGTTTTCAAAAGGCTTAAATTACACTCAAACGGCATCAAGATGAATGGATTGGCAGCAGCAGTATGGGACCCCTGTTTTTTTTCTTTTCCTTGTTTAAACAGGGAATTTTTCTCTGCTTGGCCGTGCCAAGAGCAGGAGGAGAAAATCAACTCCATTCAACTATTTGCCAACTCCCTTTAGAAACATTTAATAGTAATAAAATTTATGGCTCCAGTTTCCAAAGGATACTGCCAGCGAAGTTCATCTCTTCAAACGGGGTTGTAAATGCTACCATTGTTTCACTTTTTGATTTACGACTTCATTTTCACTGAGGTTTGAGACGTTTAAAGCCCGTAGGAAGGATATAACCATTATGTATGCCCATTTAGCAACCAACGTACTGATCCGTTTGTACACGCAGTCAGTTCAGTGCGAAACAGAAAAGGAAGAAGATGCTCTGTCATCTGGATGAGCGATGAAACTACCAGGCGGTTTGCAGGAATCTGTGGAGCAGGAGCTCAGATTGAGTTGCCATGTGTTAGAGATGTCTCAGGAAAGTTTTACAGCATGAACTCATATGTCACGTCTGTCAGCTGCGTTATGTTATTACATTTTATTTTGKTTAAAATTGCCATTCTTAGAGTGTGTTTTAGGAGGTGAACAGAACAATAAAAGTGATTGGAGGGATCATGCTGGGATTTTAGGTGGAGSTGAGTCATTTCATCACTCAGACTTTGTGTCATTTCCTCACACTTAAAAAACTTCTCTTTTTTACAGTTTTTCCATTACTGTTTAATTCAGGAGATATCATAAAACGCTGTTAGTCATACCATGGATCACAGTTCAAAATGTGAACCTTTTACTGTACGATGTGGACTTGAGCATAATAAGGTCATTAAAACGTGGCGCAGTGGAGGTGGGTTTGAAAGRGGGAAAGGGATTCGTGGTGAGGGTGAGTTATGGAGCATCAAGGAGCCGTAAAACCCAGTGATGAATTAGGACGTTTTTTTTTCTCTTTCTCTTTTTCATCCTGACACGAGGAAGGAAATGCTTTTTGTTTTCTTAAGGATGTGCTATTTTCCTGTCTCGGATCCTCCTGCTGAATCCTCAGGCCATCAAACGGAGGATTTAAAGGTCTTTGGCGGCAGTTAGAGCTCCCCGCAGAAACTTCCTCGTGGTGCCGAGAGGCGACTCCTGGAGCCCAGAGGGAGGAAGACCAATTTGCGGGAAAAGAAAGAGAGGATATTTAAAAAAATGTACAGACTCGTTCCTGATGCCTAAAACTTTGGTAATTACAGGCCTGGTAAGTACCTGGTCTACGTACATATAAGCACCAAGTATGTAACCTTAAGTACCATGTACATACTCTGTAAATATTCTGTGAATATCAGGTATGGCCTCCTTAAGCGTATGCTAGTATTCTGTAAGTAACAAACATGTGCCAGGTACATACCCCTGTAGTACCAGGCAGGTACTATAACACCCCTTAAAGGGGCAATGTCATGTAAAATCAACTTTTTTGAGTTTTATATCATGTTATAATAT